CACATATATATATATATAAATATATATATTTACTATTCATATATATATATATATGTACTATATATGTACATATATATATATATTTTATTATATATATATATATATATATACATACACACACTCACACACACACATATATATCTATCTATCTATCTATATCTATTTATATATATGTCGGTATATCGAAATTCTATTGACCGTTGACTCCTATACCATCCCACACACAGGCATTATCCGCACCATCGATCTGCCTATCTACATCACCAAGATCATCGGCAACCAGGTCTTCTGCTTGGACCGTGACTGCAAGACGCGTGTGCTTGAGATCGACCCCACCGAGTACAAGTTCAAGCTGGCTCTGGTGCAGCGCAAATACGACGAGGTGTTGTACATGGTCAGAAACGCCAAGCTTATCGGACAGTCCATTATTGCGTATCTGCAGCGTAAGGGGTATCCCGAGGTGGCCCTGCACTTTGTTAAGGATGAGAAGACAAGGTATGTGCTATGGTTGTTTAAGGGTGATGGTTTTATTGTACTGGGTTGTAGTTGAGCTGTATTTGGGTAAATTGTAGTGTTTTTATTATTATTATTGTGTAGGAGTTTGTTGACGTGGTATGCTGTATAGGACATACCTCTGTTGCGTAATTGCGGCGCCAGGGCTATTCGGACGGGCACCTGCACCACGTGAAATATAAGAAGTCGAGGTTTGTGCACGATCCATCAAGTCTTCAGGATTAATTATTGCGTTGGCGGATTGATTGGTTTGCACTGCCTTTGCTTTTAATTGTGTTGGATTGCCGTTGTTTTGCATTGGGTTGATTCAGTTCACTTGGATTTCATTGGTTTGTTCTGTGGTGGGATTTTAGTTGCTTTGTATTGGGTCGATTCAGTTCCCTTGGATTTCATTGGGTTGTTCTGTGGTTGGATTGCAATTGCTTTGTACATAGCCTTCTAAATTGAACAGCTTTGTATTGGGCTGATCCAGTTTACTTGGATTTCATTAGTTTGTTCTGGGATGCGAGTTTTATAGGAGTGCATCGACCTGTATCGATATTGGATGATTTATATAAGTGTTTGTATAGAGTTTCACCAGCAGACCATTCTTGCGTATTCGCACTCCGACTTATGAGCCACAATCTAGTTGCTTTATACATAAGATTTTCAGAGCATAAAAACACACGAGTTATGTTTAAGACCTTTGGCACCAGGTTGTACTCCGCTGTCGTCTCATTGGGAACGTTTATATTCCAGATTCGGATTGGCTCTTGAGTGCGGCAATCTGAAGGTGGCGGTAGAGGCCGCCAAGAAGGTCAACGACGATGCCCTGTGGGTGGAACTCAGCACAATGGCCCTGGCACAGGTGTGTAGCAACTGCATGCAGTGCTCTTG